ATTATAAACCCACAGTCCTACCACACACAAGAAAAACCAAGAACACAGTTCTAAGGAAGTAAGCATCTTATGAATTATGTACTAAGGACACACAGAGAACACCTCTCAGCTGATGTGAAACGGTTTTTCACTTGGTCTCAGAGCAGACAATCTCACAGAAAATTTTGCTATTGACAAAACTAGCAACATAATCAGGAAAATCCCCAGCTTCCTGCTGAAAGAGCAGATACGCAACTATTAGTGCTCACCACATACAAAGTGAGAAGTGAAAGTTAGCCTCTGCTCACCTTGCAGCAAACTGAGACCACCTGACAAAGATGATTTTCCTTCTCCTGTCCTCATTTGCTCAGGAAGCCTGCAAGCAGCCTTTCCCACTGCTCATTAGCTGAGCAGCCCTTCTCCCAGCCAAGTCCATACAGGACTCAGGCAGACCACAAATATGTGAATACTACAGCAGCAGTCTCAGCACAACCACGTTCAGATTTCCCAGGGAAAGGAAATGCAATACCTGTTGATTATTAATGAGTTTGACATGAAGGAGCAAAACCACACTGAGGAACATCTGTGCTGGTGCTGCACTACATGTGACGGCAGCCAGGAGATTTCTCATGCAGTTTCAGCAAGGGTTTCTCAGGATTTTCACTGCTCTAAACAAACAGAAATGCACTGTTCTGCTAGGCAAGAGATCCGGCAGGACAGCAGTGCAAAACACCACCAAACTGAGCAACTGTCTGTCCCACTCTCCTGAGGCTGGCATGCCTTCACTTTCATGAGAGGAGCAAGGCTCACAGATCAACAGCTTGGCTCCCACAGATCACAGTTCAAAGCATCAGTGCAGACTCAGAGGGCAATGCACTTTTCTATTAACAGGAAGAGCCTACCCCTAGTTCTGAAGCAGCTGTCCAGCTCACTGCTCCACATCCCCCAGGTCTTTACGGACAGTCTGCAACAGGAAGCGCCTCAGCCTAGCAGCCCAGGCCTTCCCTTCCCAGGCTCTCTGGAGACCTTAGAGTCTTCCAAAACTAAAACAAAAGACTCTAAGAATGCTCAAAACACTTTTCAGACCCAAAGCACGACTAACAATAAATCCAGAAGTGGGGCCAGCTAAATGAGCTGAGCTAGGGACTATCCTGCTCACCCCATCAATCACTGAGGTCATGAAGCCACTGTCAAACTTCATTATACACAGGCACATTGAAAACAACCCTACCATTTGACTCTACTTTGCATTAATATTACTATATGGAATTTAGCAAGATTTTGAAAAGCTACACCAATGCCACATGCCTCATCTTGTACTAATACGGAGACCTGAAGAACAGTTCAGAGTATCTAATTATTGCAATTCCCATTTCCTGTTTTGTCCACGGATACCAACCCTTCCATTTTCACTTAGTTTTACAATACTCACCATCAACCTCTTGACTTTTCACTCCACAGGTTGCCTCAGAGTTGCTCCACTAAGAGATTTTCCTCTATAATGGTTTCCTGCCCTGATGACCCTAACAAAGAAACCTCTCAGCCAGAGCCTGCTAAATCCCATTCCTCTGCCACTGTGCATAGGAGGGAAAGGTGGAAGAGAATTTCACATATATGACATTTATTCTATTCTTAGGTTGAAGCAGACACTTCTCTCATACAGTTCTTTTACATGAAGATTTTATCATCTTAGCATATACACCTTGCTTAGCTCATCTGCAGTTCCAGTTCTGACTTGTGTACAGTTTGATACTATCTATAAACGCAGGTAACACGTATCTTTGAAAAGAAGGGAGATAGATAAGTACTATCAAGAAAATGCATTTTCCATCTCTAATCCTGATTACACAACTGCTTATGTGGAAAGTATTTGCTTTTTCAATGTAAAATCCAAATGTTTTTGCACTTGGTGCTGCTACAAATAAGCGTACTGAGAGAAGGCAAAAAGAGCCAAGAAACAAGATAAACTACTCTGACATCAAACAAACTTATTTGTAAGACAGAAAGAAAGGTAGGTGGGGGGGGGGTGAGGTTGTGGGAAAGAATAGAAAGTACCACCAATTTGATTCATTAGACAACAGTGTTCCTATTATTAAATATCATACTGAGATAATAAGAGATGCGTGTGTTGGGAAGAAGCTGTTAGGTGAAGGAGGATCTGAGATAAAAACTGCATTATTGTACAGCACGCAGATGTGGCACATCACACAAAGGGGAGACAGCATCCAAATTCTGCGTGCACCAAAGGAATCATGCTGAACAAAGGAACCGTACTTCAGGCAAGCACATGATTTCACCACTCTGCCTGTAGACTTCAGATTAGTCATTAAGCCATTTTACATTTGCAGCATCAGTGAACAGGGAAATAACTGCACATTTATATGTCAATAAAATATGACAACTGCTGATTCAGTTTTCATATGGTAAACTCACATTTAGCAAACAAAGAATATCAGCAGTTAATTTCAGCTCCTGTTACATAGCATCTGTGATTGGGAGACTGGGTAAAGAAACATCTCTCCCTGAAAGCACTTTTCAGGTGAGCAGTTAATGCAATGATAAAACAGAGCACAAATTGCACTGTTAAATTGTTAACGTTACACTGAATTAAGTAAACACCTCCAAACAAGGGTACTACGGACCTTCACATGGGCACAGAAGCCTTTGTTCAGTACCAGAGGGCCAAGTTTTTCCTGTGTGACTGCTGATTCACAAAGGACACATTCATCCCTCACACATAAGGGCTTTGCAGCAGTTTTCCTCCAAGAACACTGAGTAGGATTGAGTACCACACACTCAATCCTAATCCAAGTGACACAGCAAGAAAGGGCTGCTCTCTGGAAAGAGACGCAACAGTGCTAAGGATGAACTTGGAAATCTCTACGGCAACTCCACAGGTTCCTCCCCGTTTACCTTTGTGCCTGGTACTCCAAAAGAAGTAAGAAAAGCTATTGTCACAAGAGTTGTTAATATGTATTACGTCCAAAAGCAGGAAAGGCTGCAGACTGCTTGACACTCAATTGGGAAGAACATTTGCTCAAGGAAACCAAACACTGAAATGAAAGAATCATAACTCCTGATGAGCACTCAGGGTGTGCCACACACTCCAGTAGATCTCGATTGAGAGGTCAGGTGGATCAGGAGCTGCGGGAGGCCCAAGTTATGCTGAGTTAAAAAAAAAAAAAAAAAAAAAAAAAAAAAACACCTACCCGAGTGTGCCTAATTTGTGAACAAAGTCAGAATTAACCTTCAGGGTGCTGTGCTTTTGTGAGTACAAAACATTGTTTGCAGTGCTTTCTGTCCTTCTGTTCCTTACAATTAATTCATACTGGTGCTAATAAATCCTCCTTTCTTGCACGACCCCACTACAATTCCAGAAGCAGCGTCTTAGGCCCAAACTTTTTGACTTCATTTTGCTGAAGAGAACAAAGGCTGATTTATCTGAATTTAAAGAGGGAGGAAGCCAGTGGCAATATAGCACTTGCCTGTAACCACACTTCAGAGCTTTGTGCTTCTGTGTAAATAAGTAGTACAGTGTATGTTAGGTTATTTTCACTGACCGATCTAAAAGAACCATACAGAAAATTGATAAGTTTAATAGCACCAGGAAGCAAGAAAAAAAACACACAGATGAAACTCACAAACGTTCTGTACATTTGATATTAAGACCATGTCCTTTAGATCCCCTGGTCCCATTTCTAAGGGATCACAAACCTCTAAACTCAACTATTTTTCTTTTTGACCACATATTTTAAAACCCTCCTTCTTAGTTTGCAAAGTGCCTAAAAATCCTACTGATAGGAAATGATGCTCTAGAACTTTGGCTGTAACACCACTGTCAATCTCTTCCCAAAAGAAACCACAACTTTGATTTCAGCAATAATATGAAGGAACACTAATACAAGATAACTAAAGATACTTGGAAATTAAACAAAACTAAGTAAAGAGGCACTTTTCTCCCGTTTTCACGAGTTATTGCAAGGCCAATTGCAAATTATCAAGTAAATGAACAAAAATAAAAGGACAAAAACAGAGATAATGCACCTCAAGGTACTTTGTGCATCTCTTTCAAAACTCTAATTGCTAGCACCACTTGGTGGTATATGCTCGGTAATATACATAGAAAAGCTTTTATGATAAAGGCACTTCACCACAGAGCTCTTAAAGCACTATTCAGAAGCACAGCAAAAAGTTCCTCAACCAGTTGTACACAGAGATTAGCGTGGATTACCCAAACATGAATGAGCTGCTCTCCATTGATTTGTTGGCAAGGATGACTGGCGTGTTTGCAGGAAGTTTTGCTTCCGAGTACTGCGTATCCAAAAAAGCCAGAAAGGCAGCTGATGTGCCTGGTGCGTGCTGTGCCTTCCCTCCTGAACTCTCTTGAGAAGGGCGCGTTACTTTTTCGTGTTACCCACAGCTCCAGCCCTTCACCAGCACCACTGTCAGAGATGATTCCTGCTCAGGCTACCAGCTGCATGATGGAGGGAGAGCAGCTCACCTGCCCCGCCAGCCGCAGCCATTCAGTGCTCGTTTATGCAGACTGACACACGAGCTTGGCTTTTTCTCATGAAAATGGCAGCTTCCTTTTTAAACCGAGTTTGGAGATACCAGACTGCTGACTTCTAAGAGTGCATCTACTTCCCTCGCAGCACATGGTTATGTAGATGTATGTACACATACACATCCACTTATATACACAAACACATGTATGTATGTATATACATACACACACATACAAATCACACACATTTATGTGGCAATATAACTGCTTCCACACTAGCAGTGGGGAAATAATAGGAATTTTAGGGTTAAAGCAAGAAGGGAAAAAAAAGTATTATTTCAGCACTATAACAAAGTTTCCTAGGCAACGCTGTGAGAACCCTCGCCAAGACAAAACCTCCGGGGACTGAAAACTAAGAAAGCAAAGCGGGCTTGAAACTAAGAAGCAAGCAAGTCTTTGTATCTAATTCCTCCGCACCGCCCGCCCGCACCGAGCGTCCCAAAGCCGCCCGACCCACCCAAACTTCGGATCCCACTCGAAGGGTCCGGGCGTAGCTCCGGCGGCGGAGAGAGCCGCTGCGGGACGACCCGGGCCCCATCACGGCTCCGTCGCGCTCACGAGGCTCCTCCCGGCTCCCTCCCAGGCGCCGTATCGCCCCGCAGCCCCGCTCACCTGGGCCAGCCGCCTCCTTCCCGCTGCCGCCGTCGCGGCGCCGCCTGTCGGTGCCGCCCGAACGGGGCTGCGGCCGCCACATCCCGCCCCCGGCGGGACGAAGCGGCTCTCCCCGGGCGCGTCGAGCGGGGCGGAAAGCGGCGGCCCCGGCCACACCCCCGGCGGCTCGGAGCCACGGGGCGCGGCCCGCCCGGCGGCACCCGCTGCCCCTCCTCCGGGCCGGCCTCCTGCGAGCCGCGGGCAGCCCCGGCTTTGCAGCGCACGGGCGTTAGATTAGACTAGGGGGAAGATGGGGGCTGTGTCCCGAAGCCCCGACTGCAGCAAGCTGAAGGGCTGCTTCTACACGCACCCAGAGGCATTCGGCCTCCTCCCCGTGCCCCCTGGTTGCTGCAAGCCCCGCGCTATTTCACATGGGGGTACTGCTGAGGGCGCTGAGCACCGAGCACACCATCAGGAAATAATTTGCTGTAGCATTCATCCACATTGCACATTTTTTTTAGTCTTACAGCCATCATGTGACTGTTCTCGAGCCTTACCCTATCCCCGCATCCTGCCAGATCGTTGCTGAATTCAACAAGGCTTGCTTGCAACAAGGTAACACTCTGCTCATTGGCTTTCTGTAGTTCAAACTCGGCACCAACGACTGCAGTGCTTCCGTTACTTTCCATAGAATCACAGAACAGCTTAGGGTGAAAGGGTCTTAAAGCCCACCCAGTACCAACCTCCTGCCCTGTGCCAGCTCAGGCTGGCCAGGGTCCCGTCCAACTTGGCCTCAAGCACCTTCAGGGTTGGGGCACCCACAACTTCTCTGGGCATTTGTGCCAGGGCCTCACTGCCCTCACAGCGAAAGATTTCCCCCTGATATCTAATCTAAATCTTTCATTTTTTAATTTAAAACCATTCCCCCTTGTCCTATCACTATCACTTTTGCAAGGCTTCGCTAAATACTGTGATCTATCAAAGTCAAACACAACTTCTCAATTTTGTTTTGTTCTGCTATCATCCTTATACACAACCCAACATTTCATATACTTTTTCTGCTGAGGTCACTGTACCTTTTTGAGGCTCTCCCCTTTAAGTTACATTTCACTGCAACAGCATAAATTTCTGCTAAAACTCTCTCCCGTTTTGCGTTGTAGTTAATTTTAGAGCTCTCTCATTTATGAGGTATCTTCTCCTCCTTAGCACATGCCTATTTTGCTTTCACTGGTTTTCCTAAACTGGTAGTTTTACATCTTTTGATAGCCATAATTATCAGCTTTATAGAAGCTCATGACTGTCTATCGACAACAGCTTTGCATCAAGTCTGCTCAAGTAGTACCTGCTTCAATTATAGAATCATAGAATCATTAGGTTTGGAAAAAAACACTAAGATCTTCTAGTCCAATTATCAGCCCATGCCCACCACACCCACTAACCACATCCCTCAGTGCCACATCTACACATTTCTTGAACACCTTCAGGGACAGTGACTCCACCACCTCCCTGGGCAGCCTGTGCCACTGCCTCACTGCACTTTGGGAGAAGAAATTTTCACTGATATATGACCTGAATCTCTCCTTAGCTATCATCATATCCACTACATCAACCATTCTTCAATTTTAATTTCACATTAAGCATTTTTCAAGATGTCCTCCATCCTAGAATTCAAAAATGTCTTCTCAGATATGCATAGTGCTTCTATACATTAAAACATCACCTCTCATGCTGAGAAGTTTTCATGACATTCAGAGATGCTGCTACAAAAAAGCCCTGATTTATTTAACAGCTAAGAATTTACTAATGTTCTTGGGTTTGGGTCCATTTATTAAGAAATACAGGACATGCTAAGAGAGATGTAACCTCATACTCCAGGCTGTGCCCTTCCTGACTTGTGAGAGAAGACAATGGGCAGCTGTGCCTTGCAAGCCAAAAATAGACACACATCCTCCTTTCTTCAAATGTGCTGTGCTGTTGCTGATTCAGATGATGTCAGCTTATATCAGTACTAGCTCCCATCACTCAGAGATCAATTTGTTATAAAAGAACAGCTGCACGGGTGCAAACAAAGGGCTCATCCAGCACAGCACGCCTCCAACTTGAGCCCAAGGCAGTGGCCTCAAGAGCAGGAATGAGGCCAGTGCACACAGCACTTCCTCTTTTGCCACTCCCTCCCCCTGACCAATGTCAGCCTATGGGTTTCCTTACTCCGTTCAGATTGTTAGTTAGTGATTTGTTTGGGTCTCACTGACTCCCTGCTGCTTGTCCAACCTTCCTTGGAGCTCACTTCAGCACCCTTCATTGCAAACTCCCCCAGGTCTCCAGCACTGTGCATTGCACTAGCTCCTGACGTTTGCTTCAGGCCCAGCTATGGCTGGCTTCCTTCTACAGATGCTAGGTTTTTATGCTGGAAGGAACATACTTGTCCAACTGCTCATGCCTTTTGTATGTGCTATCACATCTTGTGACCCCTTTCCACACTACATGGTGCAGAGTTATTCAGACTTGCCTTATACAGAAACTGCTTCATATCTTTGCCTTTGTTGCCCATCTCTAAACCTTTTCTTTGTGTTTTTCCAGATAAGGTTAGCTATGGATTGCTACAGCGGTGTTATCTTTGTGTTTCCTGTCATATTCCATGTTCCATTACCAAAAGGTCATAGCATTTGATTTGCTTTCCTCTGACTCCTGACACACACTTGGCTGATATGTTCTGATATGTAGCTAACCCCACAGCTTCCTTCTCAGGGGTAGTGGTTGTATCATAGCTTTTCACCTTAAATGGGAAGTTGGTATTGTTCATAGTGGAAGGCAGCAATTCAGCTTATGCACCACTTGTTGTTTGACTGTTCCTTCTGCACTTCTTTGCAGTCAGCTCTTGTTCATACTGCAGCAGATGACCCAGTACCATCAGCAGGCTTGCTTCAACCACTCTGATGTTGAACAGCAGAGGTCCTAGAGAAGCTAAACTGCCCAAAGCTACCAGAAGGCAGCAGTTCTATATGCTAATATTCTAAAGAATCATAATCCATCCTCAGATAGGAGACCCTTTTAATCAGTTTTCCTACTCTGGAAGTCAGAACCTACTCCAAAAGCTGAAGTTTAACCCAAAACTTCAATGCTTCAGCTTACATACTCACATTATCGCATACATACTCACATAATGCATACATTTAAACAAAGAAATCAAATTCTACACCATAACAGAATACAGCAGACTATAATTAATTAGCTGGATAGATAATCAGCAGTGTTTGTCAGACAGAGTGAATGTGAATCTGTCCCCTTATTAAGAACAGAGTTGCTTTCTGATAACCATCCTTACTCAAGCACCGGGCTGTCAGGAAGGGCCTGGAGGGAGGTCTGCAGGGAGATTTCACAGAGGACTGAAAAATACTTGGAGAAAAAGACACAGGAGGAAGACACACAACTGAAGCACATATTAGCACATGAGAACAGAATTTCTGTTTTTAATGCTTTTCAAATTGCATCCTTCATGGAATGTCTGACCCGAGTGACCAGATGAGATCTTACAAAAGAAACCTTCCACCTACAGTTAAGACCTAATAACTTACAGATGGTGTTCAGGTGTTTAAAGTGAGATAGATGTTGCACGAAATTGCTCAGCAGAGCTTATTTATTGGTGTGTACTGCATGGCTATCTTCTATTTTAGATTACACAGGAGGCAGTTGGAGTGTTTGGCTGCTTCTCCATTTCAGGTTTCCAGTGAGCTGGTATATGCAAGGCACAGCTGCCAGGAAAAACAGCCGTGCCTGTTCTCCCCCTCCCCCCACACGTCACTCCTCCCCAGCTGTGCCTTCCTCCCCATCCCCATGCTACTGTCTGCTCTATGCTGGCAAGCATTTGTTATACAGCACACTGAGAAGAGGTGTGAGTTTAAACCTTTTATCTTTTTCACCAAAAGCCTTTCTCCAATTGAAGATGACTGTGTAACAACAGCACTACTCACTGCACCAGAAATCCTGGCAAATCCTAACAATCTCTCCCATGTGCCCTTTCCTCCTCAAGCCACTTCTTGAGACCCCATGCCAGCTGAAAATTGCCCTCTCTGCTTTCCATTCCTTGTCTCAGTCTCTCTGATTCTCATCATCTACACATGGCTGCTTGTTTGTATGGTACTTCTGCACCAGACTGACATCAGTTTATGAGAATTCTTACATGCACCTGCTGCCATCATGAATGGGATTCCTGTAGCCCCCTCTGTCCTTTATGACCTCTGTTTCATCTCAAAACTCACCTGCAAACTCCCCTTTTCCTATTCTCATGTTTATCTTTCTTTTTTATTTTTCATTCATTCATTGCTACACCAGAGAGCTTTTCTACTCCAGTGGCAAATAACATTCACCAAAACATGCCACCGTAGTCAAGCCAACTCTACTTGCAAATTTTAGGCAAATCAAGGGGAAAAAAAACAGGGTTTTTATCTAGCATACAAATGAGAAAAATCCAGAAATGCTAGAGCCACGTATTTTGATCTTTCCAGTATCAGGACATCTCAAATTTAAGTTAGGTTCACACAGGGCATCTCAATATCTATCAGACAGCACACAGCTGCAGACATTCTCAAGCTGTTCTTTTATCCTGATATCTCCTTTACAGTTTAGAAACCTGAGATCTTTCAAAGGCTGGTGTCAGTGCAGGCTGGGGACACTGCATCTCACCATCAGACCCAGGGCAAGGTAGGACAATGACCAGAGCCAGCCAGGGGCTGGAAAACGGCAGCTGACAGCAATGATGTGCCACAGCTGTGGGTTCCTTATCTCCACATTGCTGTGCTCTGCATAGGGAGGAACCTGCAGAGTGCCTTTCCATGGCCAGGTCCTGCCAGAGCTCTGAGCTGTTGCCTTGCCATCCATTCACTGCATCACTCAGCCTGCCACCTCATCTTTCCCCAGCAACATCCTTCACAGGGAAGGTTGGCT